TTTAAGTAAGCTCTGCGCCCAACGTGAGGCTTGAACTCATGACCCTGAGACCAAGAGTTGCATGCTCTACCAACTGAGCCAGCCAGGCACCCCTGAGCAGATGTAGTTTTTAAAAATTGCCTGTAACATCCAATCCCTGTTTACTATTAAAGTTGTCTTTATTAGAAATGAAAACTTAGAGAACTGGAAAGATATTTCTTTGGGGATAATATTTGCTCCAAGACCTAAGATTATTTTTAAAGAATGAAGCAAATCTTTAGAAATTTAGATTCTTGATAATAATAGTGACGATGACCCTTTTGGTCTTCTTAACTCATTACTGAGGTAGAGAGGAGAGAAGAGGGGCCTAAGGTGTGCATCATGTGACTTGCCTAGGATGACAGAGCTTTGTAGCGGCAGTGCTGTTTCTAGAATTCCTGCAAGTTGTTCCCAGGGCAGGAGGCTCTGGGAGGAGTCCCCAGAGCCTGTGACAGCTGACCTGTCCCTACTTTAAAAGTCAGTTTGGCAGATGTTTCATCAGGGTCCATCAGCAATGAGGAGCTCCTACGAACTTCTTCTTGGGGTGGGTGTGGTGCTGCCAGACCCAAGGCTGGAAGGTCAAGGGGACAAAGTTGGTCAGTTGTGCAAGAGCTGACATGATGGGACTCTGCTCAGACCCCATTGCTGCTTCTGCTCTCTCTGGAAACCTCTACCTCATTCCCCAAAAGAAGCACTCAGTTCGCAGCTCAGTTCAGTCTGTTCAAGAACCAGGGCCTCACTTCGCTTCCCCTGGGAAACACATTGGTGCACATTTTAACTTACTACGCTCTGAAAATGATTCTGGGAGACAACTTGGTCACGTTTACATGTTTACTAAGTACTGAGCTCTTGTTATGTGCTAGACCTTTCCCTAGGCACATGCAAAATTGCCATCAGCTGGTGTCAAAGCAGAAAGACTTCAGGTGGTACCCAAAACAAAAACTGAACTAAACACAGTCTCATGCATCTAAATTTCTCCACTTGCCCCTTGGAAATGTTTGCCTTCAAGGCTGCCTTCATAATTCAATTTAAATTAAACCTATCTGGGGGTACCTGGCTGGCTCAGTCAGTAGAGCATGGGATGCTTGATCTCAGGGTTGTGAGTTCGAGCCTCATGTTGGATATAGAGATTACTTTTTAAAAAATAACAATTAAAACTAAAAAAAAAAACACAAACCTATCTGGTAAAGAGGTTTGGAAGGAAGGCACAGTAAACATGGGACAATTTGACTTGACCATGAGGGTTTGGAATCCTTTCAGAGCCTTTCCCACTTTGCCTATCCAGAAGAAAATGCTGGGTATTTGGTTACAAGCAATCAGAATGTGCAAAATTAAACACAAATTGCCAGAGCACATTACCTAGGCTTATTTTCCTTCTCGGTATAATACCAAGTTTAAGGGAAAAAAGTCACGATGGCAATTTAAATGAAAAAGGTGTACTGGGTTGAATAGTTATTCAGTTTTATTGTTTCTCCGGCTCCCATTGCAGAAAGCCACATGCTTTGGATCCCAAGATGATATGGTTTGACCCACTATAACTTGAACTGGTGTTTTCAGAGTTGTGAAAAGCTTATGTGCTTCCCTTTGGCCTTTCTTACTCCTTGGTTTGACACCTGATACACAGGCAGAGCGAGGTTAGAGATTTGCCAGCCGCAGGACAAAGGAAAGCCAACCAAGGTGGGCCTCATGCCCTCATCACCAACCGCTTTGCTTTCACCTTAATTTCTTTTGTTGCAGATTCCAGCTGTAGATTTTTTGTTTCCTCATGTTCCGATTTCCTAACCCTGTGTGGCCATTGCTAACTTCCCTCATAAGAGTGGTTGAGCTGGATTCCTGGTTGGGAAAGATAGAAATAAATAGATATAAATCCCATAGGGATCGTGCTGGGACAAAGAGTTTTTGCTGGGTCTTGGAAGGAATGGAACGTTCCCCAAAAATGAGTCGTTGGGAACTACATGTTGAGAGAGTTCCACCACTTATGACCTCTGTTGAGCATATTTCCTCCACTCCTCGGGGCATGTGTTTTGGCTTACTATTATGGTGGATTTGGTACCCTCAAATTACATCTTCTCTCCATTTACTTGTCCTTTACTAAAAGTATTATCGATTTTTAGAAATGTAGACGATGGTTGTCCATGAGCTCCTCTTCTCCTTCTTGCCTCACCACTTATGATATTGATCTGCAAGGCCTTTATTGTTTCTTCCTTAAACTCCTATAAAAGATCAGAAGGTTCTTATGCTTTTATTATTTCTCTTTATTCACTGCCAACCTTATGATGACAATCTTTTAAAAATGCAGAATAGCCATCATTTAGTGAATGCATACTATGAGAGACACTTTCCATCCCTTCTTATCAATCCTCACAATGGCCTTATGAAGAGGGCGTTAATCCCACTGTACACAATGACAAAATGGAGGTTTAGAGATGTTAAACTAAGTTTCTTTTTTTTTTTTTAAGATTTTATTTATTTATTTGACAGAGAGAGACACAGCGAGAGAGGGAACACAAGCAGGGGAAGTGGGAGAGGGAGAAGCAGGCTTCCCGCTGAGCAGGGAGTCTGATGCGGGGCTCGATCCCAGGACCCTGGGAACATGACCTGAGCCGAAGGCAGACGCTTAACGACTGGGCCACCCAGGCACCACATAAGTTTCTGAGCCTCTTAGGTAGGAAGTCGTGGAGTAGCAATTCGAATCCAGCACTGACAGAATCCAAAATTTATAGCAAGACCAACGTGTTGTACAGACTGGATCCTGCCCATATGAAATAAGGGTGCATATAATGGTTTATAATTTGAATGAAATACTGGCCAACATTTAAAAATTTGGGTATTACATTTGAAAGTCTGGATTCCACCTTCTCTTAAAAAAAAAAAAAAAATAGAAGATTGGGCCCACTGGGCTCATATTCCTCCAAGCGGTAGCCAGCCACTCCTAAGGAGGGCCACTTCCCTTAGTGGAGGCACGTGTTCTAAGGTGAATAGCTCCATTCATTCCCACCTCCATCTGGTTTATCTTATCACTTTACCCACCTGGGCCACCAGATTGGTACCTGTATATGTTTGATTTTGCAATCCTTATTCCAGTCTCCAGGAACAATCTGTTTCAGGACTTGAGTCCTGGCTTCCCCATCTGCTAACTTTGTGTCCTTGGACAAGTTACTTAACCCTTCAAGTCCTCAGATTTCTCACCTCTACAGTGGGGATAAGAATAGTACCTACCTTTTGAGGCTGTTTGGAAAGTTGCATAAGGTAATCCATATAAAGTGCTCTGCATGGTGTCTGGCACACAGTGAGATTTCTATAATAGTTAGGTATTACTGTTAACCATTATTCCAGTTAAACACTCCTTCCTCAGAAAGTGGTGTTCAGTAGCCTTTTCCAAGGTCAACCTAAATTGTAAAGTAAGCCATCAGAACCATTAGCCATGGAAACACTGCTGTGTTGTAATAGGCAACAGAGTGTGTGGTTTTGACATTAGACTGACTTGGCTCAAGTTCCATCCCTGACATTATGGGGACCTGAGCTAATTATTTAAACTCGTTCTGACTCAGTTTCCTCATTCATAAAATAGGCATGATAATAGTACCTACTTTGTGAGATTGTGGTGAAGAGCAAGTGAATTAATGCATGTGAAATGTTTCCGAATGGTGATTGGCACATAATGTGCACTCAACGGATGATACTCCCTACTGAAAACAATAAATCAGAGCGTGCATTTGCTAAGCATGTGTTTGCTTCTGGGGAGATGCAGATAGACTATTTTGAATTGGATTGCATGGAAAATTGGGTAAATTGGAAGCTAAGACTCTTGCCTTCATTTCCTGCCCCCTCGATTCCCTGCATTCCAGATTCTGTTCCTTCCATCTTCCTAAAATTGCGTTTTTGAAGGCTCATCAAGTCCCGCCAAAGGCCTCAGCCTCATCTTCTAGTGGGGGTAAGAATTTCAGAGATCAACTAGCCTAACACTGTCAATTCTCAGAAGAGGACGTTGAGGCTGAGAGAAGTTCTGTGGCTTGTCCATAGCTCATTTGTGACAGACCAAGAGTTATCCATCAACTTCATTGCTTGAGTAGTTGCTAGATGACAGTGGGTTTACGTTGATTTTGATTTGATAAGTCAGGGGTGGGACTGGGGACCCTACACGCAGCTGGTGTAGGAGCTCTGCTCTCTCCTCTTTCACCTTGTTCTTTCTGCCCCATGATCCTTGCTCTGTGAGGCGCTGGTCCAGCTGATACTGTAAGAGGACTGCTCTGTCTTCCCCAGTGGGACCTAGGCCCCATGACCCTCCATAGCTTGAAGACCCTTTTCCCGATGGGTAATGTTTTCCCTTCCCTGTGACTTGCCTCTCTGGGCCATGTTCCGATTTCCCTGCTGGCTCACTTGTTTCCTTGGGCTGGCTGCCTTGTTTGGCGGTCTTTAGTGAGGGCTCTGATAGATGCCAGGAGTGAGGGGAAGAGCTCCGAATGGGCTCAGTCATTGGACAGGCAGACCCGGTGATGGATGAGCCCTCTCCCCAGGGAGTTTTGGATCAGAAGAAGTCCAACTGATAAGTTTTTCCAGAACTGAGTAACCCAGAAACAGTGCCAGCAGCTTCTTACCTCTTTTGTGGCTTTCGTATTGATTTTAAAGAAAATTCTCAGTTCCACGTCTATCTAGAAATACAGCTCCATCCACGATAAACTTAGATACATGTGCTATGAATTGTTTTAGAGATAACATTTGAGGGGAGGGGTGGGAGGAAGGAAGAGAGGGGTCCTTAAAAAATCCCTTTCAAAATATTTTCTTTCTTCTAAGTATTGAAAAGGCACAATATAACCCTTTCTTCTTCCAAATGATCTCATAGCTATTTATTGAGGGGAAATACCAAATGTTTATTTATTTTGTTTAAAGGAGCTTCTTTCGTCCTGATGATTCACGTGGATATCATTTTCCTCCCCACTACAGAGGCTCTGAGACAAAGCCACAGCCCAAGTGATATGCCTGTGTCAGACCAATTCCTGTCCTGAAGGAGGGTATGCAACCTTCTTTATTCCCCCTTCACAGACGTCCTTGAGCCCTTGAGACGGATGTGAGCGAGTTTCTCAGTGCTCATGCAAAACAACCATCTAAACATAACAGATGACATCAGCTTGGGCTTTTCAATTCCTGGATGGCAGCGGCGTGTTAATCCAGCCTTCATCCTGGATTTCATAAACTAAAACAAGAGAGCCTGGCAAGAGGACAGCGCTGCTGCTGGGTTGAGGAAATTGATGACGGGGAAGCATGCGGGCAACCCAGTGTATAAAACTCATAAACGTGTAGGCAGAGGCTCAGCTACCACTTTGGACAGCTGCTTCCCGCCAGCAAAGACCACGCCGCCCGCGGGAAGCCGAGCCAGAGCCCTCGGGGAAACATGAAGAGCCTCTTGCTGCTGGCCACGCTCCTGGTCCCTGCGCACCTGGCGGTCGCCTGGAGCGCCAAGTATGCGGTGGACTGCCCCGAGCGCTGCGACAGCGCCCAGTGCAAAAGCAGCCTGCGCTGCAAGCGGACAGTGCTGGACGACTGCGGCTGCTGCCGGGTGTGCGCCGCGGGGCTGGGCGAGACCTGCTACCGCACCGTGTCGGCCATGGACGGCGTCAAGTGCGGCCCGGGGCTCAGGTGTCAGTTTTACAGTGAGGAGGATGACTTTGGTGACGAGTTCGGTATCTGCAAAGGTAAAGGGTGACCCCTTGCTTCTCCCCCCCACCCCCACCCGAGGGGGTGGGGGTGGAAGCACACTGAGGGCTTTTAGCCAGCGTGGGAGGTGCGGAGGCTTTGCTGCGAAGGACAAGAGGGAAAATGCAGGTGGCTTAGGGACAAGGCCCCGCACAGGTGTTGTCACCGGGAGAGGGAGAGAGAAGGAGAACTCTGCAAAACAGCAGCTGAAGCCAGTGTGCAGGAAAGCACAGAAAGCAGTACTGCATTTCACTCCTTATGTGTAGGAGATTTAAGAAAAAAGTTGCAATGAAAAATTGTGGGACCTCCCTTTCTGGAAAACTTTAGGAACTTGACAGGTAATCTGTTTGGATGGTTTAGGTGCTCTCTCTTCTACAACACAGTGATTACAGCGGTCTGCACTAGATAACCTCTAGGGGTGTCTAGCCCCGGGCTTAGTGATTCTTTGATCTTGAAAGGGTCCACGGGTTGGAGGGCATCTCTCAAGATCAAATATTTCTGATGAACACTAATGCACTTTGTGAAATAGGGTGGGCTTAAACCATCTAACAGAATGACTCACATTCTTGAAAGAGGGTACCTTGAAGTATAAAACAAACCCCATTCCACTTTATAAAGGTGTTTGGTCAACTAGAAAAATAGCAGTAAGACAAGTTAAGAATAACACTAAAGAAAAATAAAAATTGGAAGTCTGTAAAGAATGAGAGTTTACAGACTTAAAGAAAAATGTCAGTAGTTTGAAATCATAGCTAAACAATGTAGTTGCACAGTTGTAGAATTTATTTCAGACTTAGTGACTGTAGTTTAAAATGTTTAGAATCAAAAGAAAGGTGATTTAAAGATACTCTATAAATGGATACCTCATGATCTCATCATTAAAAGCTATTATCAAGATGAAATACATATGCTCTAGCCCCATTCATCAGTTTTGTAATAAAAAGAAGCTTTTAGAATGATTAAAGGGACTGGGAAATTTATTTCTTATATTTTCTTTCTTATTTCATTCTTATCTTCTATGTATTTAATACAGTTGTATGCTTTTAGGAATGATAATCAGCCACCACTGAGACAGCCTCATTAATTCACCTACCTTTTAGACAAATATTTTATAAATTAATTTACCTTTTAATCTACAACATATACTAAAGATTAGGAAATAAATGCTTGGACTATTAGGAGAATCTTATTTTTTGCTCAGTTTATTTTTGTTTATAACCAATGAAAGGTAGAATATTGAGGAACCTTTTTTTGGTGAACATTCACAAACATTTAAGCTGACTAGGATCTATATTTTCTGTAAATTACAGGATTTCACATAAGGAAATTAGGGAGGAAGTGGTTAATACAATCATACTTATGATATAGCAAGTATACGCAGTGGATTGCTTTTTCTCTTGGCATAAAAATCGCCTCTGTAAATGTGATTGTAAATGCACTGTCATATATGGGTAAAGAAACATTCCAAGGCATCTGGGATCTTTAGCAGTTCAACATTCTACTGAATGACTGAGGTAGCTGTTAATGGGATAGATTTTTAAAATGTATTTAAAATTGTTCTTTTTGGCACGCTTCATATTACAAGCGAGTCTAGCTTCGAACATTTTTCTCTCTGCTGGAAATAGTGACCCTGTGTGAACCTCACCATCTCTACACAGAGACATTGAATTTTGCTGTAGGCAAACTCCCTCCTTCAGCTTTTTCACAGAGCACTCATAGGAAAACTGTATACTTTAGCTGCACATCCAGATGTTTTCTAAATATTCAGATGTTTGGCATTACGCTGCCGAGTTAACAGCCAGCCAACACGTATTTACGGAACACCTGCTATCCACCCAGCGCTATTCAATACACTGGGGGTTGCAGTAGAAGTGTAACTAAGAACTTGGCTCAAGTTTTAGTTTTCAGTATCACTAGACACACAGTCAAATCCCAATCCTGTGCGCTTTTCTGCAAGAGGCTTTTTAGGATCCTTTTTAAGGACGGTCTTTCCCAGCGAGAGGCTAATGTTTAAAACCAGGCTCTGGGGCGCCTGGGTGGCTCAGTCGTTAGGCGTCTGCCTTCGGCTCAGGTCATGGTCCCAGGGTCCTGGGATCAAGCTCCCGTCGTCGGGCTCCCTGCTCCACGGGAAGCCTGCTTCTCTCTCTCCCACTCCCCCTGCTTGTGTTCCCTCTCTCGCTGTGTCTCTCTCTGTCAAATAAATAAATAAAATCTTTAAAAACAATTACAAAAAATAAAACCAGATGCCTCTGTAATCTGAAGAGTAATGGTAAGAAGAATCCTAAATCTCTTCCAAAAAATAAATTTCATTAACATCTACCTTGATCATTCTGTGGAATATTAGATTGCCAAGGGCTCAGCTGCTTCACTGCTTGTTTCTTTCCCCATGTGTGATTGTACACTTATGAGAATATTCTCATGCCAAGAGAATAAATATTCTGCATCTATTTGCTTGGTTGGTAAAGACTGGGTCATCAAAAAAAAAAAAAAAGACTGGGTCATCAATGGAGATGCTGTTTATGTCATAAAGACCTTGCATTTGTAATAAATGGGTTTGTCCTCTTCTCAGTATTGCATGTTTTAGTCTAAGCATGAACACACTGAAGCTCTAAACGCTTCCAGATTTGCGGAGGTATACAGGTAAATTCTCAGCTCTCTTGTTCTTCTTAGCATGTTGCATGTCAGATTTGCAGAAGGTCTTACTAGTAAATCCTCCTGACATCCGGGGAGTTAGGTAAATTGTGCTGCCATTTCAATAGCGAAGGTAGTTGATCAGAGCTGGAGCGGACTGAGGATGGATCACTTCATGGAGAGCAGGCATGACACCCTTCTCAGCCCCTGGCTAGTGTGGATGAAGCCCTTTCCTATACATTTAAAATAGTACATTGTTTGTGAACACAGTGGATTCAAAGGCAGCATCACATCCTTTAAGCTCTTTGAGAAGCTGATGTATGTGTCTGTTCAATTGCCCACCTCACTGAGCTGTCACAGGAGCCGTCTAAGGAAACTATGAGAACCTACCTGTCTATTGGTATCTAAGCAGAAAGGGAACAGAATTAAGGCTGGTCAAAGATGTTGGTTATGTGTAGCTGCCTTCAACTAACTTCACGGCAGGCCACGACAGCGGAGGTGTCCAGGATCTGGTCTTACTGTGCGATTTCACATGTGTGACTGAAAGTTTCAACTTCCAAAGCTTGGGGTTTTTTAAGAACTGGATTTTTATCTGACAGTCAAGATTCGTGAGGCTTGTTCAGAATCTGGAGGCTTTGTGCACAGGGGCTGTGAGACTGGGGGCTTGTGCCCAAGGAGCGGCTCCCTCTCTAAACCTTCCCTTTGTCCTCAGACTGCCCCTACGGCACCTTCGGGATGGAATGCCGGGAGACCTGCAGCTGTCAGTCGGGCATATGTGACAGAGTGACTGGCAAGTGTCTGAAATTTCCCTTCTTCCAATATTCAGTAGCCAAGTCTTCCAACAGGAGATTTGTTTCTCACACAGGTAAGAATTGATTTCAGTGTAAACACTGGAAAAATAACCTCATTTTCAATTTGAATAACTTAAGAGATATAGATGAACAAGAATAAAGCATTGGTTCGAGTGATTTTGTTCTTTATTTTACTCAGGGGAAAGGGGTGGTGGTTGAGTTTGGGTTGCTGTTGCTTTTTTTTTTTTTTTTAAGATCTCAGTAATAATTTGGGAGATTATACATTTTTCCATAAAGTTCACCCAGTTTTATGGAGAATAAATATGATTGATTACCAAAACACCTGTAATAAGAAAATAACCAAGATATACAAAGTTCTTCAAATTCTTCAGTGATCTGTTTTATACACATACTAGACTAAGCTACTTCTCTCTCAAGTTCATGTAGAAAAAATACACTCAGAAATTTATCGGATAAGGCTTAAGAGCCAAGATAGAAAATATAGAACATTTCTTCTTCTTTTTTTTAACAAAATGGGAGTACTTAAATGGAATATTTCCAAACATGCATTTTTATGGATTTTGGAGAGGATAAGAGATAGTAACTGTGATTGAAATTTGGGAATTATCTCTAAGCCTTTGAATGAAACTGTAGTAATAGTCACATGATGCTTGTTCACGCATGTGTATTTCGTATCCAGGTTGTTAAAATGTGAGAAATACAACATATAAGAGAGTGTTATGGACATATTTGGTTATCTTGTGGAATAAATGACCAGTATAGTAAAGCTTCACTAAATTGAAAGTAGCTCATTTAAAACAACATGTAGCCATAGAAACCGCTAATATCAACAAACTGTCCAGTCCCCCCACCTTAGATATAAATAGTTGACAATCCAAGTCCATTTTATTTAGTTTGTGTTTCTGGGTTTTTGCTCTTCGAGTTAACTAAGATTTGAAATATTTGGCAAATGTACTTATTACCCAGCTTTACCTCTTCTTACACATGGATACAATTAAGTACTTTAAGAGGAAGAGGAAATACTGTACTTTTAAGTGAATTTTTATGTTGAAGTGTGGCTATGCCCTTAAACAGTAATTTAAAATGAACCTCCCCCCCTTTTAAAGCTATTAGGTAAATATCTTTGTGAATATTTGATCTGGAAATTGAGATCATCATTAATATTTTAAGTACTTTTGACTTGTCCTATAGTCCTTGAAAAGCGACATGGAAACAGATTGAGTTTTAAGTCCTAAAAAAAAAAATTCGTAGTGAGGTGAAATTTACATAACATAAAATTAGCCATTTTGAAGTGAACAGCACAGTGGTAGTTAGTACATTAACAAAGCTGCATAGCTGCCATTTCAGTCCAGTTCTAGAACATTCTCACCGGCTCAAAATAAAACCCTACTATCCATTAAGCAGTTGCCCCCATTCTTCATAACCCACCCCGCAGCCCCTGGTAACCATCAATCTACTTTCTGAGACCTACACATTTTTGGAATGTTTTGATTACTTCAGTACAAGTTTGAAACCTATTGTCTTAGTACAGGTAGCTGTCTCAAACACTTGCATCTTCTTTTGTCTTATTTTGCTTTCTTAAAACTGCGGGCTACAGAGCACCTTGAAGAGCCACTTTTGTATTCCTCTTCATTCGTTTATGGTTGCACATAAGCCTTTCCCACCGAGAGAGAATTGAATCCCTTGTGAATCTGGTGTTTGGGATGAACGTTCGGGAGGCCATAAGAGCTCCTTTGGAATAATCCTCAGGAAGGGAACGCCCATCCCTCCCACTGCATACCCAGCCACACGTCCTCTTCTTCACTGGACTTTTGTGCCGTCTCTTTCCCTTGAGCCTGTCACCCTCTGTCATTTGCATGCAGATTTTGCAGATATCTTGACTACTATATAGATGCCTTGGACACAGATATTTTGCTGGCTGGAAGTTACATTAGGGGTTACACAAAAAAAATATTTCTATACCCAAATTAGGTATCAAGATTCTTAGTAGAAATTGATGGGGAAAGCATTTTCTGACCTAAGGTGTTTGCTTTCATTAGCTAAAGGGGAGCAAAAGATGATTACTAGTGTAATGTTGGTAAACCTTAGTCCGGTTCAGGCTGGAGAGCAGAATGTCCTAAAGCTCTGAGAGGCTGTGCAGGAACTCCTCTGCTCAGTGGTGCCCTGTCTCTGCTGGACTTGCCAGGGCGCATGTGCTACTGTTATAGGAGGGGGCTTGGGGCTCAGTCCTGCAATGGATTTCACATCTATTTACAAAGCCTTTGTTAGTGATTCCAAGGTTCATCCGCACAGGGACTTCTTGAGGTCCCTTCCATACCTTGATTACACGAGCTTATCTTCTTTAGTTTTCTTCCTATTGGCTACTATATTCTTGGCAAGTGGGCTTCCTGTCTTCCTGTTTCCCTTTGTTGTTGTTGTTGTTGTTGTTGTTGTTGTTATTGTGAGATTTCCAATTTTCTAGGCCTGGGAATTTGCAAGTGACTTTTTTTAAGGGGGGTGGGGACAGTAAGATCTGGACTATTTGATTACTTTGCGCACATTCATCCGCCAGGCTGCACTAACCATACAGCATTCCATATTAGGACATGCACTGTTGACGCAAACATACCTCACTGCTCTTAGAAGCAGACAAATTTCACTTTGGAAAATTCTAAATATTATAAACTTTTATGCAGAATAAGAGCTATCTTTATAAAAGTTCTGTCCTTTGATCTGCCATCTGCTTTCTGGAGCCACACAATAAGCTAATTCCTCTTCCATACCAGATAGTATGAAAATCTTACTTAGAGATCTATTTTTACATTTGCTTATTCCATAAGTATTTATTAGGCACCTACTATGTTCCAGGTACTGTAGTAGCAGTGAACAAAACAAAGCCCCTGCCTTTTTGGAGCTGATATTCTAGTGGTGGAGTGAGATAATAAACACACACACACACACACAAAGACAAATGCATGTATAAGATAATGTCCAGTGATGATAGGTATATGAAGAGAAATCATTCAGGGGGTGCTGACGTGGATGGGAGGTGCCGATCGACAGAGAGTGGGTGAATACAGTGAGCACAGACTCTTTGAATCTATTAAAGATTTTATTGTACATCCCTTGTCATATAAAAGTAAGATAAAACTGTTCTTCATCTTAGAGTTATAAACATCTGGACATGATTTGTATTCCTTCTAATTTCAGAGCATGACATGGCATCTGGAGACGGCAATTCTGTGAGAGAAGAACTTGTAAAAGAGAATGCCCGCTCTCCTGTAATGAAATGGTTAAATCCTCGCTGATCCTGGGTGGGATTTCTGAGAGAAGACTCTTATTTTAATGATCATTCAACACACAGCCAACATTTTAGGAACTGTCTAGATTATAGCATATGGACATGTGATATTGGGAGGCCAAGTGTGTGGGTCCGGAAAAAAACAAGTAGGCTACTAACAATCCATAAAATGCATATGACTGAACACTCTTAGATATTTGTTAAGTATTTGAATGCATATAGATTTGTTAAATATGTGTTTATAGTAATACTGAAGAACTGAAAAAGCAATTTAGATAATCTTAATGTGGATGCAGATCAGCCAAAGAGAGAGCTAGCCAAAGCTGAAGACCAGAGTGAGTCCACACGTCCGTGACTCGGATGTACATTGACGTTGGGATACAGGATGGAGGGAGAGTTAGGAGTGAGAGAAGGTGGGGGCAGGGTGGGGAAGTATGACATTTAGGTCTTCCTTGTGGTAGCATCAATAGAATTTAGTTGTGCTTTTTATTTACTTGGGAAAAGTCAAAACAAAACAATCCCTGAAGGAAGTGGGATGTTTCAAGCTTGTGGGAGGTTGAGTAGCAGCCTTGAACCGAGGCAGGTTTCAAAGGGCTGCTACTCGTCATGCCCAGGTTACCTTATCTGAAGGATGATTCTGGGACAGAGGGCAAACGTACACTCTCATAAATGGTTTTAAAGAATGCCACCCCAGACTGAGAGAGCTAGGAAGTATTTTGTCCACTTGGAGGAGGTGTGAAGGTAAATATTTATATAATTTTGTAAACAATTATGTTAGTATCAGTCATCCTCCATACCCATACTTATCACCTTGAGAAGATGAACAAAATACTGTTTGTTAAAATGGGTAGAATAAAAGTGTAACTCTATAAGGTTTCCAAACACCTGAGGCATGGTAAATTTATTATTAATAATTATAGCAATATTAATAATAATAAGCATAAGAAAAAACTAGAAAAAAATTAGTCATTACGGATTTATAAAGTGTCAGAAAATGAGCAACAGAAGAAATTTATTTAAAAGTAAGTGCAGTGACTTAGATGAGTTTCAGATTTAAAGTAGAAAATACTTTTTTAGGAGGTTTGGAAAAGAGTCAATTTTCAGTAGGAAACGTCAACTTTAAAATATTGTTCATTTTCTTATTTTTCTTTCCTTTAAAGTTGGTTGATAAGTGGAATTATGAGTACACTTGGGAGGACCATAGCACAAACAGGACTGTTGTACTAGATTTTGTTAGGAAATATTTGCAGAAGTATTTTATTTGGAGCGAAGATTATTTAAGAATTATTTCACTATTTACCTATATTTTATTCTCAAAGTTTGCCAACAGAGTTGTGAATGTGTGTGGGGGAGGGTCTTTGAATGTAAGCTGAATAAGCTGTCAGGATATGTTTTAAAAGGCAAAGTTTATGATTGTTCAATTAAAAAAATAAGACCGCTGCTTCGAGTCCGTTCATGACTTTGTTAAATCATTAAGTTATTCAAAAGATTCATCCAATGAACAAAAACTCTTGTATGCATATTAAAGGCAGGCTTCTCAACTGACTTTGCTGCCACAGGTAAGCATTTTCTGTTAAAACATGAGGCTAGAATATTTATTTCTTTGCCTCACATTTTTGGTCTCCTCATGCCTTACAGCTTCCAGAAAAGTAGGTTCCTATATATTAACCCATTCTATAGAGGCAAAAACAAAAGAACCCTTCTGTTCCTGTTGGAAGGTGCTTACGCTTTACAAGACATAGGCAAAGACAAACTCTTCGGTGCCTATAAAATAAGAGAGTAGCATTCAGTTTTGCAGCTTGACAGCATCAAATCCAAGAACAGGATGGGTTCATTCAGCCTTGTGATGGGCAAATTAGGACAACATTTACATGAACTGACACAATGCTAAAAAAAAATTGTATTAGTAAAAACTTCAATTTGCCTGATTTAATCTTTTTCCTTTTTTAAGATGGAAGAAACTGGATGTGAATGAGATAAAAATTTATATCAATGTAAGATACTCCTATTACTACTGAATTAAAACAACGCACTGAAAAATCTTTACTTCTACCAGCGTGCAGTGAGGTTCAGGACATGCCGTCAGAGAGTAAGGTTACTTAAAGATCCCCTGATTTGGCCTAAAGCATAAGCCGCAGCCCAAATGTCCCCGGGGGGAAGGGTGGACAGTGGAACATGAACTGGACCAGGGCAGGACTTGCCTCTGCGCATGCTCTACAGCATGGGAGACCATGGGCAATACAATCGAACAAAGGTGGGCTCATCTGCTCTCAGGGGCGGGCATGTTTTCGAGCTGTCCAGCTTCCTGGTACTGGGACCTCCTTGTGCCTTTCACAGCAAATGCTAGTCCCTGTCTATCCCCAATTGCTCTGTAGCCTTCTGACTCTATTCTTCAAAGCAGCAAATCCAAAATCTTTGGATTTTGCCCTTTTTGATTGCAGTATCTTTGAGCATGCAATTTTAAACTGTATAAATAGCATAGGATTAATGCACTATGTTCATTATTTTTTTTAAAAGATTTTATTTATTTATTTATTTGAGAGAGAGAGAGAGAGAAACAGCATGAGAGGGGATAGGGTCAGAGGGAGAAGCAGGCTCCCCGCCGAGCCGGGAGCCCGATGTGGGACTCGATCCCAGGACTCCGGGATCATGACCTGAGCCGAAGGCAGTCGCTTAACCAACTGAGCCACCCAGGCGCCCTGCACTATGTTCATTATAAAACATATACTCAAAGTAGAAATTCTTAAGGGATAAAAAATAAATATGAATAGAAGTTCTGAGATTTTTTTTTTTTCCTGCACCCCTACGACTATCCCGGGAAACACAGGAGAAGTAAAAGAAAATGTTGTATGTCAGTGGTCTCCAGTGAGGCGCGACCTCATTTGATATTGAAGAGAAACCAAGGTGGCACATGTTCCACAAAATAAAGATTTCTGCAATGCATGGATTAACGGATGGATGGGTGGATGGATGGATGGATGAGTGGATGGATGGATGAGTGGATGAATGAAAAGTTGGATGGGTAGATAGTTGGATAGAAGGATGTTTGGGAAGAAAGATGGGTGAGTGGATGGGTGAGTGGATGTCTGGAGGAACGAATGAAGAAAGGAATGAATGAATGTATGAATGAACAAAGCAGGTGACAGGCCTGTCACCAGCAGAACAGATAGAGCAGATGGCCTCTCATCCCTTTTACTTGCCAGCTCCCATCTCCCCAGTGGCTACTTATCCTGCCTATCAGGACCTGAGGAGATTGAAAAAAGTGGGGGTATATGTGAGAGTCAGTGAATCTGACAAATAGGGTTGTCCAGGGCAACAGAAACAGGGAGTGCTTCTCCAATAGGTAGTGGGGATATCACCCATAGTAACAAAAAGTGTAAAGTAATTTTAGTGGTAGCCAGATTGAGTTGTCATTTTCGGTGAAAAGCAATTGGGGAGGACTATTGTTTCCATCCCGTATTTTATTCTTTTCCTTTATCCCGAGGTCCCTTGGAGTAAAGGATCTGTAGATATAATTCAACATCACATAGATACTTGGAGGGAAAATTGATTACTTCTGATCACCCAGAGTTGGAATTAATCATTAAACTAAGGCCTGGCTTTAAAAGGGTGCATGTCATAGACCAGCGACTCTCTAAGTTTATTATGCGTTAGAATTATCTGGAGGCCTTGTTAAAACACAAATTGCTGATTTGGTATGTCTGAGATGAGGCCCAAGGATTTTCCATTTTAACAAGTTCCCAGACGATGCAGATGCTGCTGGTCCAGGGACTGTGCTTGGAGAATCACTGTTAAAGGGAGATCTAGACTTGCCTAGAAAGGAGATAAACTAAGGAGTGATCAAAACCAGTCATTGCTGACCTTATGAAAGAATGCACTACAATACTTCTTAACCAGTTGGTTCATTCTACTTATTTCTGTTGTTTAAAGATACTTAACTATAGGGCGCCTGGGTGGCTCAGTTGGTTAAGCGACTGCCTTCGGCTCAGGTCATGATCCTGAAGTCCCTGAATCCAGTCCCGCATCAGGCTCCCTGTTCGGCGGGGAGTCTGCTTCTCCCTCTGACCCTCCCCCCTCTCATGTGCTCTCTCTCATTCTCTCTCTCTCAAATAAATAAATAAAATCTTTAAAAAAAAAAAGATACTTAACTATTTAAGCAACTGCAAGGGTTGAAAAACATCAGAGAAACTTTAAATCGTGGGGACTTGTCAGGGACAAATAGAAAACCATCAAAGGAGGCTGGAGATGGAAGAACCAGAGAATTAGGAAATGGTCAAGGGGTGTGTGGTCTCATAGGAAGAAAGGCATTCAAGAAGAGTGACCAGGGGTGCCATGTGTCATGGAGAGATCAGGCGGAGCTAAAGAGTCCTCAGGAGGCCCCCGGTGACCACAGGAGAGCAGTGTCCATGGAGAGGTCAGGGTGGAAGCCTGAATGAAGGGTGCTGAAAACTGCATGGCAGGTGAGCACTTTTCTAGAAGGTCATCTGGGAAGGACAGAAGGGCAGTTAGCCTGCAACTAAAGAGGAGAGCACCTAGATCCTAGGTGAGTATTTGTTTCTTTCTGTTCCTCCAAGATTAGGGAGAATCCATTTGGAAGCAATGATAGAGTCTGATGTGTTTGTATTAATCCAGGTTATACAATTCCATTTATATAGATTCTTGTGACATAACTCTCACAGAGTAGATGTGTCTATACATTTTCTAGCCCTCTAGAAAATATAGGAGTACATAGAAAGCCAAAATATTGGAGTTGAGGAGAGGGGCCCGAAGAATTCTAGTCTAAACCTTTTCTTTCACAGATGAAAACACCAGACCCAAATAAATTTGGTGATAAAGTCTTGTGTATGGTGGTGAAAACTACTTATCACTGTATCACTTTTAGCCATTCAATTTTTTTAAATGAAAACATTCAAATCTGTAGTTTACCTACCACATAGTTAAAAAATATATATCCATATATCCATCTGTATATATATGAAGTCTTAAAAAGTATACGTCTTTTATACAAAAATTCTATTTTTATGAATTAATTCTAAGGAAATAATTTTTGAGTGCATGAAAATGTGTATACAAAAAACAGTAGCAATGTTTTTATACTACCAAAAAACTGTAGGGCGCCTGGGTGGCTCAGTTGGTTAAGCGACTGCCTTCGGCTCAGGTCATGATCCTGGAGTCCCGGGATCGAGTCCCGCATCGGGCTCCCTGCTCGGCAGGGAGTCTGCTTCTCCCGCTGACTCTCCCCCCTCTCATGCTCTCTCTATCTCATTCTCTCTCAAATAAATGAATAAAATCTTTAAAAAAAAAAAAAACTGTAAGCAATCTGAAAAGGCCAATGGTAGCATATTTGTTAAGGAAATGACAATGTAGCCAAGAACTGACTATGCTCTAGCCATTGCAAGTGATGAAGTGTGTGTAGAGTGACTGACAGATCGTGTTCACTCCAAAGCAGAAGGTGACAGTGTCATCAGGGCTGGGAGTCGGTCGGGGAGTGTGGCTGCCGCAATGCAACCAGGGCGCCGACTACTAGATTTTCATGAGTCCCTCTCCCCAGTGTGAAAGCAGCTATTTTTGAAGTGATAGCTTTATCAGGTTTCCCTGAAACATTTCCTTTAGTCTTCACAGAAACAATCCTCTTTTTGTGTTTCTAGCTTATTGGTCTACAATGAATATTTAATTCAGTTTTGCAACAGTGATAACTGGCACTAACAGACTCAAGAACAAATGTAACAGACTCCGAGCTTTGATTTCAACTGGCAGAAATGCAAGTGTGCAGGTGCATACCCCAGGGAGGCCTGAGTGCCTGCCTCCTTGCCAGTACACCATGGACACATCAATAGTGGAATAGTGTTGGGAGAGAAGGGGGACGCATGGTGATCTCACTGAGATGAGAAAGGGCAGCTTGCCTAAGAACACTTGTACTGTATGGTAGGTGGAAAAAAGCATGCCACGATGCCATAGGAATAATCTCATCTTTGTGAAAAAATATGTAAATGAATATAAATGGAGCTATTAATAGGGATGCTTACCTTATTCTTTATATTTTCAGCTATATTCTGAAATCTTTGCCATTAGTTTTATAATTGGGAAAAAGAATAAAGCTCTCTCCACTTTTGGAAAGGTAAACTGCAGCAAATTCAAGCAAGTGAAAATGAATTCGTGGTTTATTGCATATACGGTGGCTAAAGAACATAATCTTCTATTTCAGTAGTTTTGAGATGTACTTTGTCATTTAGCACTTGGTTAGATGTAGAAATAAGATTTCAAACCAAGTAAATGTTGAGAACTGTAATTTTCTTGTAAATCCTAGAAAGGCTACAAAGCACATTAGCACATTATACTTCTCTTCTGGAAAAAAAAGGCTTTGGTCCAACAGAAGCAAAGCCAGTCAATCCTTAGTAAGTGTCGATGAAGGTCTCTGGATCGTAAAGTACACAGTTCA